TTTTGTCAACTTTTCGAGCGGAGTTGGTTTTGCACATTTATTGACTAGTTTTGGAGCGTTGAGCATCGGTTTGAATTGTTGGAAAGGCTTGGGAGCTGGCTATGGAACTTCGGAGCAAGGTAAGTCTCCTTTCTAACCTTGTAAGATGGAATTAACCCCATAGGTGAACTAAATTAATACATGCTTCTATTTGTGGGAGCTACGTACGCACGGGGCGGTGAGAGTCCGTACGTAGCTACTAATTAAGCCTATGTCCGGGTAGTTCTAGGCTTACACCATTATTTGTTGATACCGTTATTTGATCCTATTATTTACTTGCCTTGAAGGAATCTAGATCGAGTATGCTTATTAAATGCCTTGAAAAGAGTTGAAATTAAGACTCAGGACTTGAAAGTTTCATTAGGATTTCATATGTTGGAAAGAATTAAAGAATATTATAAAAACAATTTTTTGAGAAAATCTTGTGCAACCGCGTCGCAATTATATTCCACGAGCGGGGTGAATTTCCACTACTCTTATAGGATCGGTCCGTTCGCCTTCGCAGGATTATGTATTTCACTCTTATGGGATCGAGCCGTTCGCCTCGGCAGGATCTATGTACCACACTCTTATGGGAGCGGGCCGTTCACATCGACAGGTTAATAGATGCATCTATGGTTCGTGCCGTTCGACCCTCGGCAGTGCACAGTTTAATTATTATGTTGGATCGGGCCGTACGCCTCGGCATTTCTTATCTCATATCCTCATGGAATCGTGCGTAATATTCGGCAAGCAGCCAATGTATTCGCTAGTTATTCGGATTTGAATTTATGATAATCTACTTGATGAGGTCCACTACATCCTTATGTGTGCTCCGGTTTAAGGAGGGAATTTCTAATGGGAAGCTTGAGTTCATCGTAAAGAGGAAAATTTGTATCACGTACCATTATGTTATTTAATTCATTTATTTACTCCGCCCCACCTTTATTTACCTCTTTACTGTACCTGATATTATTGGACCACTAGTAAGTGTCGGAGTCGACCTCTCATCACTACTTCTTCGAGGTTAGTCTGGATACTAGGTACGCGTTGTTTTCGTACTCATGCTACACTTGCTGTACATTTTGTTGTACATGCACATACATATATAGTGGCCTCGTGGGTGCAGCAACGTGGTTGATGCGGGGACTTAGGTGAGCTGCATCATGTTACGATCCGCAGCCAACAGAATCTCCTTCAGAGTATTTATATTTTTCTTTTCCGTCCAAATTTGTATTCTGGAGGGATGATGTATTTTGTTTTATTTTTCCTAGCTAATGCTCATGCACTTGTGACACCGGGTTCTGGGATGATTATTGGATATTCAGTATTGAAAAACATTATTATTTATTCTGTAAAGTTCATCTTTTACTAATTAAATTGAAGGAAATTTATGATTTCAAAAATATTAAAATGAGAATTTAATTAACTATTTATTGTTGGCTTGCCTGACAGTGCTGTCCGCCATCACAACCTTTAACGGATTTTGGGTCGTGACAGTTTTAGACTATTCAGTTTCATTGTTATCATTTGATTTGAATTGTTAACAATGGTTAATAATTATAGGTAACGTTGGCTTGCCTAGCAAGTAAAATGTTAGGCGCCATCACGGTCCCGAGGGTGAGAATTCCGGGTTGTGACAATTATCAAGACGAAGAATAAGACTTTTGACATGATTGGTGCAAGACTGCTATGCCGAATTTGTCATTGTTATATTTTACTCTTAAGGTTCTATCGATTCTCATGAATTCAATAGGTGATTACCTTATACTTCCGATTCACATTCCTCTCTCGATTAAACCTAAATCTTTCAAATAAACTAATGTGAAGTGCAATAAAACTTGCAAGAATCTATTGGTAGGGATGATCTAAGAGAAATTTCTCGCAAATATTTTTCAATCTTAATTTAAACGGTAACTCAAAGAGCTCTCTCTATTACTTCAACGAATCACCAACATAAACTAAGGCATACACTGCAATAATATTCAATAAGATGTTCATCTTTCGATTAAACACTATAAAGAATAAAATCATAACTAACATTAAAGATCCTCCAATAAATTCAAGCAATTAAACAATAGTCAAATTCATAAACAACAATCAAGTCACCAAATCATGTCAAACCCTAAAGTAAACTACTTATAGATATGGAGAAAGTCATCACAAATAGAATTAAAGAACATGAAAGCGTTAATCCAACGTTACAATCGAAACTCTCGTATTGAATTGGTAGAAGGAAGATGAAATCTTGTGTCTTGAAGCCTCCAATGCTCTCCAAAAGTTCCCAAGGTCAAAAATCCTCTAAAAGTCGTGTTTTTGATGTATTTATACTATGTAGGAATGAGCCCGGATGAAATTACCCTTTACAATTTGAAGAGGGAGAATACTCTGATAAAAATTGAATAAGTACGGCGCAAGGTTTAGTTCCCCATGTGCCACGTCAGTAGAGAACTTCAGAGGGTTGATTTTACACTCAACGGAAAATTTGCACTAGCACCATGTGCCTCGTGGCGCGCCTCGCAACGTGGTAGTGCAATTTTTTTAGAGTAAATTTTCTTCTCACTTTTTGATATCTAGACTTGGTCCTCAATCCCCAAACATGATCCCGCTTTAATTCCCTGGGCTTTTACTCAGACATCAAATTATTGTTCAATTTAGCTTCGATTTATATTTTTAATTTGGAATTAGTTCCTGCAAGGCATAAAACACATAATAAGTGCGAATCATCGTTATTTAAGCTCAAACACAAGTAAATTGCAGTAATTAGAGTCCAAAATAAGATTAAAATACGGGTTCCTAGTCTACCATCAATACCCGACACTTAAATCATTGCTCGTCCTCGAGCAATCAAACTACACTTTTTGATGTTTTCATCAAAAAACTTCCCTAACTCATCATGCTAAGAATATTTAAAGCGGACTAAACACCATACCATAACATCCTAGCCTCAAGACTCGACTCAAAAGCACCCAGTATTTTTCAAAATCAACTCACTTACTCTAACACAGAGGCCAAAGATGTGACCTTCCTTTTGCAAATCATGGCCCTTACATTAAACATAGAGAGGAGTTCCACACACAATAAATTTCAAGAATAATTTGGAACTCAAGATAGAATGAATTTACTTACTCTTAGAATAAGATTCATGTGCCACAGATGACATACCATAGGCTTGTCCATAGTGTAATACTCTACTAATTCGAGTCCCTTAGGAACTTTAAAGTGTCGGGGATCCAAAGGGAGCATCGACCTTGAGTGGGGCTCCTTATTTGCTCTTAGTTCGTTGACGCAATCAGTTCTTTAAGGGTTTGATGTTTAATGACAACGAAAGGTTTCCAATTTGAATTATTTGCTAAGAAAAGCCACCACATTAATATATAATCTTCCCTACCATATTAACTTTTTGACATGTACATCTGTTTGGGCCTCTGAGTTCCTGATGAACGTATGCCCAATTCCAGCCTTATTGCATTCTGTTGGGAAGCCAAAAATTAGCTTTATTCGCTTCTCTTCACTGCTGGGCCTACCTTCTTGAGTCCCAATCACAGAGTCTAGTCATCTTTTCCTCAACTCTTTCGTCATTATTTACTGTCTCGATTAATTTAGTTTACCGCTTCTACTAATTTAGTTTACTGTTGGTTGCATTTGTTATGCCTTTGTTGTTATTTTTTCTCTCATATATATAATACTCATATATTAGATCACATGCTTTTCCTTTATGCTTTTATATCATGTAAACTTAAGCAAGCCTTAAACAATATAGGATTTAGAAAAGAAAATTAGTTAGTAATAGATCCTTAATTCTCTAATTATAATTTGCTCACAAATTATTATGTTTTCTCTCATCTTTTCTTTCCTAAAAAGATTTTTTAAATGCCAAGAACTTAGTAAAATAGCATCTCTATTTCAAAAAGGGAAATCGGATCTCAGTTTTATTTAAAAAAAAAAAAAATTAGAACTTCAAGGACTGTCGCCCTTAATGAATTTTTGGCAAATAACTTCTTATTTGAAAACCCTCCTAATCTAAGGTAATTTTAGGCCCTTTTTCTTACAAAACATCATTTAGAGTTATATAAATAACCATCCCCCAAATTAAAGTATTTTCATGACTCCATCTCTTTTATAAGCTTGTAAAATCTAGACCACTTATAAACCAATTTCAAGACTCTTTCAATATGTCTCATGAACTTCATCATAAACTCGTATCCCTTTAGGATCTCATATCCTTTATTAATAGCATACTTAGGTTTACAGTAAGCAGCACTCCTTATCACTAATCAAAGCATTTTATAAATTATTGATCCCAAACTTAGTCTAAATCCTATAGAGCTACCTCAGGTAGATTCTAGGAGGTGCCTAACACCTTCCCCTTAGAAAAATAAGAACCCTTACCCATAATCTCACCGGTTAGTAGACGAATAAAGAATATGACTTAGTAATTAAATAGGTACCCTAATATACCTTTAAATATTAGGTGACGACTCTCATTCATCAACAATAGAGAAACCACAAGTTGAATCCTGTCTTGACTAGTGCAAAATAGGGTGCAACAGTCACAACTAAGACACTCACCATGCTCAACGCACAACATAGTCAAGAAAAGTAATCTCCATTTAGAACTATGACACAAGATTCTCTACTACAAAAAAACAAAAACTAACTATAGCGGTTCTAGAAAAAAAAACACAAAGAAAAACCAAGGGGTAATTATTACACTACCTAAGAAAATAAAACAAACAAAAAATAAAATATTATTTTTCTTCAACTTTAAATCCCTCAAGAAAACCGTCGATGAGATCCATCATCAGAAAAAGTAAAAAAAAAAAATCTCATAACGACAAAACGACAAAAATGACAAAAATACACATATATACATATTTACATTCCTCCACCCCACACTTTAAATTGTGGCATGTCCCCACGACATACAAGTAAAAGCAAGAGGTAGGAAACTCCCCTGAATAATCTAGTTTGGGGCTAAATTAATATCGGGATCCACCTTGCACACCCGACCCAGTGCACACATCCATGCCAAGATTTTCTTCTGCCTTCTTAGGGAGCACCCCACACTTATCATGCTTCACCTCTTTAGCTAGCTCCTTTATGGAATCTGCCTTGGAATCAGGGTATGCCATTAAATTATCTCTAGGTGCACCTACTGCCTCCTTCATTTTGAACACCACCCTTTCTTCCCCCACTCTTAGAATGAGCTGCATTTCATGAATATCTAATACAGAGGTCTCCCTAAAATCAAAGGGGCCTTTTTATTCTCTTCCATATTGACCACGATGAAGTCCACAGGGAACGTAAATTTTTCCATCCGAACTAGGATATCTTCCACTATTCCTTCAGGCATGATTGTGGTCTGATCCACCAGCTGCAAAGACATGGTATAGATCTGATTTCTCCAATCTCTCCTTCCAATTTTCTGAAAATAGACAAGGGCATATGAATAATAGAAACACTTCAATCAGACAAATATTTTTCAAATTTAGTACTTCCTAGAGAGCAAGGTATATTGAAATTCCCTGGATCTCTACACTTTTGAGGGAGCATATTTTTCAGAATAGCACTACAATGCTCTGACCGATGTCTCTTCTGCTTTCCACTTGTTCGACAATATATCCTTAAAGAACTTAGCATATCCTGACATTTGAGAGCGTACCTCTGTGAAAGGTAGATTAATTTGCACCTGCTTGAACACTTCTAGAAAATGCCCAAACTGTTTGTCAAGCTTCTCTCTTCTTTGCTTCTGAGGGAAAGGTAGAGCAGGCATATATTTACTCTCTTTAGTCTCGTCATTACTTCTTTGTTTGGCTTTCTTCTTCTTTGTTGGGTGTTTGCCAAGCTTCTCTCTTCTTTGCTTTTGAGGGAAAGGTAGAGCAGGCATGTATTTACTCTCTTTAGTCTCGTCATTACTTCTTTGTTTGGCTTTTTTCTTCCTTGTTGGGACTTCGGATTTCTTCTTCTTCTTCTTCTTCTTCTTCTTCTTCTTCTTCTTCTTCTTCTTCTTCTTCTTCTTCTTCTTCTTCTTAATCTTAACACTTTTCTGCTCCCCTCCAGTCTTAACTTGATTTCCAGTCAACTCATTATTCTGTGTCACCATCGGGTCTTGCAATTCTTTACCATTCCTCTAAGACACTACATTTAGTATTTCTTTTGGAATCCTTTCAGTATCCACAGGAACGGTTCCTGAAGCCCTCTCGGATAACAAACCAGCAAACTGCCCCACTTGTCTCTCTAAGTTCTGAATGGCTGCACCATTAGTTTCAAGGGCCAAACACGGAGCAACAATAGCAACAACTAATCAATTGAAGAAAGAGTATAATCCACAAAACGAAGCTGCTGTTCGAGGCTCGAAATCAGATTCTACAAGCCTCCAAATCCGATCTCCATCGTTCAAATCTAAGACCAAGATGTTACGAACACTCAGTCAAAATTTCAGCCCGATCCAACGGTTAACGAATCGAAAAACGTGATTTGAAGTTGGTTGGTCGGAATAAAAATCTGCAGCAAAACAAATACTTTTTTTTTCTCTCTTCTCTCTTGATGAAAGCTCTCTCAAAACCCACTCTTATGTGCTTAAGTCTTTCAAAGACTTGTATCAATGAGCATAGAATAATTCTCCAAGGTTGTCCTATTTATAGATCATGAGTGGTGCTTTTCTTAAGCCAAAACCCACTCAAAATAGGAATAAACCGAATCCAATTCCAAATAGCATTGGAAACCAAAAGAGAATAGGATTAGGCCATTGGGCCTTTGGCTGGACAACATGGGCATGTGCCCAACAAACTCCCCCTCCAGCCAAGGGGCCAAATGTGCCTTCAAGTAGAGGAACTATTGACAGGCTTCATGCCTGCCAATTTTCTGCAAAATTCATGTTTATTAGCAGCCACCGCCTTTGTCAGCATATCTGAAGGATTTTCATCAGTGTGTATCTTCTCAACCTCAAATAATTTCTCTTCCACGGCCATTCTTATCCAATGATACTTTCTATTTATATGTTTGGTCTTAGAATGAAAAGTGGAGTGCTTGGTGAGACAGATAGCACTCTGATTATCACAAAATAAGATGTACCTTGGCTGCTCAAAGCCAAGATCATTAATAAACTCCTTCATCCATAATAATTCTTTGGCACCTTCTGTGACAGCAATATATTCGGCTTCTGTGGTGGATAGAGCTATGCACTTCTGTAGTCTAGATTGCCAAGAAACAGCCCCCCCTGCAAAAGTGATCAAATAACCGGAAGTCGATCTTGAATTATCAAGATTGCCTCCTAAATCAGAGTCTGTGTAACAAGTAAGTTCAGGCTTGCCATTGCCAAAGCACAGCTTCAAATCTGCAGTACCTTTCAAATATCTTAATATCCATTTTACAGCATCCACAATGTAGCCATAGGGGTCTTGAGAGTCGTGTTTAGGGGGAGAACTTTACGGGACAAGTGTTAGTTGTGTTTACCTCTTCGTGAGGTTGTTCTCTCGATATTTTGTACTCTCTTTTTATTATAGTGGTTTGCTCATCTCCGTTGTGGACGTAGGTCAGTTGACCGAACCACGTTAAATGTTTGTGTCTCTTTTAGTAGATTTCTCTTTTGTTGTCTGATTTATGGTTGTTCAAGGTTTGCTTTGCTAGCTTCCGCATGACACCTGACTTTTTCGATCCTAACAAGGTGGTATCAGAATTGTGGCACAGAAGATTGAGTCATACGAGCGATAGGGAGATTACGTGTTTGGCTAAGAAAAGTTTGCTTTTTGGATTGATACAAGCAAAGCGGACAATATCATACCATGTTAAGAGTGTCATTGGCCGTTTAAGCCCAACAACATGAATAATATGAATATAAATATTATTTATCAGTTCTAAATCATTTTTTTATTAAATATAAATGAGTCATATATTTTATATGTGTTTACCTAAGTTAAAATATCATGGTATAGCCAGTTTTCACACTAGTCAATGAAAAATAGTCAGCGTTTATCAAGTCAATGAAAAATAGCCACTATTTTGCTGCAACAGGGACCGGTCCAGTATAATATACGGGAGTTCTGGTGCATTTGTGTACGAACTCCAGCATATTATGCTGGACCGGTATACTTTGCTAACTCCTGTAAAATTTCCGGGAGACTGGAGCACCAGTGCTCCAAACTCCAGTATATTATACTGGACAATTATACTTGCTGGAACTCCCGTAAAATTTGCGGGAGTTCCACCATAATTATGCTTGAACTCCCGTAAAATTTGCGGGAGTTCCAGCATAGTTATCCTGGAACTGCCGTAAAATTTACGGGAGTTCAAGCATACTTATGCTGGAACTCCCGTAAAATTTGCGGGCGTATTTTTCCGGATTTTGAACAGTGTTTTCGCTCAGATTTAAAGTGGCTAAATTTCGATGACTTTTGAAACTTGACTATTTTTCAACGACCAGTGATAAATCTGGCTATTTTTGAATTTCTCCCTTTACCTAACCCTTTGACCCGTCTCGACTCGAACTGCCTCTTGCATCCCTATGGTATTTGTGTCTTGATAGGATAAAGACTTTGTTTCATAAAGAGCACATGTGTCAATATCATCATCATATATTAATTGATGTATCCTCGACTATCAGGTAAACACGTTATTTTTTTAATTGTCCTAATTTCCGGTTAGACTTGGTAACAGTGTACCTAGTAGATACTTTAGGATGACATGGCAAATCAAGTGTAGCTCTCCTAAATTTGAGCGCATAAACTTATTATGTTTTTCTGTTCTCTCATATTTTTTCAGGTTAAATTTAATTTTTATGTGGGTCCCACTATAATTTTTATTTTTTCCAACGCTATTTTCACTTTCTTCACATAAAAATTCATCTCCACCATAATTTTATGTGGATCCCACTACCTTTTTAAATTTCCCACAGTAATTCTACTAGTCTATGTACCCACGCGAAGTGTGGATCGATTCAGAGAAAAAAAGAGCGAAAAGCATTATATGTATATTGCAGATTAAATTTAGCGATCGTAATCAAAACAATCAAAACAAAAAAATAGACAGATGAATTTCAGTGGGTTGCCTCCATATTATTGTTGGCAAGGACTACCAATCCCAAGTGACCAGTTAAAAATGGGCCTGAGCGTAAAATATTTGGTCTTGTTTTTTATCGGTAGAACATTGTTCCTCATTATGAGTTAATAACTTAGCGGAAGAAGAAGAAGAAGAAGAAAGAAGAAGAAGAAGAAGAAGAAGAAGAAGAAGAAAGAAGAAGAAGAAGAAGAAAAAGAAGAAGAAGAAGAAAAATAAACCTTAAAAAGTTTAATATCTTCATAAGGCGAAAAACAAGCTAACTCATTTAGCTTTGCTAATATATCCAACAACTTGCTACTTCCTTTTAATAAACTGCCTGACAACAAAAAAAAAATTAAAGAAAAACCAAATAAATACTCCTACTAATCCATAAGGACTTAAAGTATGCTTCTACATTAGTTGATCAAATAAATCGACCAACTTATTTGAATTACCATCAATAGAGTTTTTAAATACCTCAAATATCAGGGGTTAAACTGGATAAACACTACTTTATTATAGTCTGTTTTACTAAAGGCAATAGTCTGGTCATAATCTTGTAACCACAAAAGCTGCTAGTGAGCCTATATGATATTAAAGAGTAGATGTGATTTACTGGAGAAGACGAATCTCCAGTAAATCATTCAACATTTGGCAATTGTCTTGCCAATTCTTTCTTCATCAAGGATATCACCTAACGCTGAAAGAATAGTACTTAGTTGCAAGAAATACTATACAATTTGTAAAAGCAAAAAACGTGATTAAATGACAAGTAATATAAGACTTCAATTTGCAATCCAGTCTAGAATATAAGATCCACCTTCATCTCTTTGAAATACTAAAAACATGAAGCAAATGGACTACTTTAATAGAATTCAACACTCACGGCTACAACCGCAATATCTTAAATTTGAAATGTATAATACAGCCTGCACGATCAAATTCATATCTTAATAAGCAATTCTTCTTGCAAGAGAAAAAGAAAAATCAAAAGAAATAAGTAAACATAAACTATGAGGAGGAAGTTATATTCTTAAATCTTGTTGATCTTATACTCTGTTTCAACTACCAGTCGCTAAGCATTATGGAATGAAAAAATATACTCATGAAACTGTCATTTTCTAAAATAATAGAACAATATGACATTTGCTTGATATTTTGGAAAACAATTAAAAGCTCACTTCTCTAAATACTTCGTGTATAATAGAACACATAGCTAAAGTTGTTTATTGTGCATGATAATCATAGTCTTATTTCTAATTATATTTCATATAATTGAGCGAAAGAAAAGAGACTACTAAAATGTAAAATATGAGATAACTTGGAGGAGAAGTCGGGGTGAAGAAAGTTATAACAAAAACTTGAACAAGGAGTCAAAGAGATCATGACTAAACTTGGAAAGCAAAAGAGTAGGAATCCTACTATGGTATACCTAATATTCAAAATAAAGAACACCACTCTGAGATAGTGTCACGCCCCAAACTCGGGGAGCGCGACTGGCGCTCAACCGAGTGAACCCGGCCGAGCAAGCTTGTTGACACCTCCTATCCAACTCATTTACGATCAAAAGAAGACATGATTTCTTTAGTTAGACATTAGGAGATCATACAAGTACATTACTAAGCCATTTCATTAATTACATCATTGTTAGGTTTTATGGTACATACACCTTACGATTTAGTGGAACAGAAATCCAAAGCATAACGTAATTCATTGACCTTCCCAACACCTATATACAACCCACATAAATATCTACGGAGCCTCTAAATGGATATAAAAGAAAGTGCTACAAAAGTGCCGGCAACAAGGCCCCAGATATACCTCAAAATATGTTAAGAAGGTGAACACAAG